GTATGGTATATACACTGCATGCTGGGATAGTATGGTATATACAGTACCTGGAAGTTAAGTTCAAATGTTTCTTCTACATTATCATCAGGATAATTTAGAAGGTAATGTAAGTTCCTGCAGCAATAAATATTAATGAATATCAAAACATCTACAAATACATTCATGATACTCACAGCCATTACTGAGCTAATTAACAAATTAGGTGTTTATTGAGGTAACCCAGCGTCCTAAGGTAGAACTCATATAATACACTATAAATTTGTCATAAACAAGACAATTTTATCAGCCAAGTTACTGAAGCCTGAAAAATACCTTGCTACTGAAGGCTGAAACGTTTTCAAATCTTCAAGAGTTGCAGGTCTGTAAAATAATATTYGCATGTAAGATAGAGCTCTTTACTAAAGAYGAGGTTTCACAACTGACCTGTGCAAGAGTTTCTTATATAAAACTGGAGGAAACTTGAGGTCAATGATGGTAGAATTATAGATGGCAAGACCACATATTACACCGATAAGGAGAAACATTGGGCTTTCTTCAAAAGTCTAAAAAAACAACAACAGTTAAAAATSAAAATTAAAACAAAAGCAGCTTTAATCAACTGAATGAAATAAAAATCACACAACATGTGATATTCATGCAATATTTACAACTATTACCAGATCATTAAACCAGATTGTACGTGACTCTTCATAGTATGTAAACATGCCATATTTAGGATCTAGCACTTCTGTTAATAACAGCAGAAAAAATTCCTAGAGAACAATAAATCATTAAATCAATGATCCATGCACTTGGTGTTCATAATGAACTTGTCAATGATGTAAAAAAAGTAGTGGCGGTCTAGTACTCAGCCATACTCAATGGCAGTCCATTAATGATTCATTTTTGTAGAGATGAGTGAGATTTATATCACTTTCAAAAAGTTTCTAAATATATGCGGCTGATAAATGTTTGAAATAACGCCAGAGCTTTTTACCTGACGATTTAAAAGGCAGCAGGTTTCTTGTATTTCATATTTGACAGAATATGTGATTGGGAACGTTTAGATCTCATTGGATAAACCCCCATTCCTTAAGAAGCAAGTTACCTTTCCCCAAACCCACTTCATTACGACAAATGTTACCTTTCTCCAACACCCCTTTTATACAACAAATATTACCTTTCTCCAACACCCAGGCTTTGATACGACAAATATTACCTTTCTCCAACACCCCTTTTATACGACAAATATTACCTTTCTCCAACACCCAGGCTTTGATACGACAAATRTTACCTTTCTCCAACACCCCTTTTATACGACAAATATTACCTTTCTCCAACACCCAGGCTTTGATACGACAAATRTTACCTTTCTCCAACACCCCTTTTATACGACAAATATTACCTTTCTCCAACACCCAGGCTTTGATACGACAAATATTACCTTTCTCCAACACCCCTTTTATACGACAAATATTACCTTTCTCCAACACCCAGGCTTTGATATGACAAATATTACCTTGGTCTACCTTTCCCCAACTTCATTTCTTTATGACAAATATTACCTTTTTCCAATCCCGTCATTTAATGAGAAAAATTGACAAAATTAACATTTCCTTTCTACAACCATCTTCTTTACGAAAAATGTTAAATAATTACACTCATTCCTTAAGAAAAAGTTTACCTTTCTTACACCTCCGGCATCAACTGCTTCTTCATTAACAAAAATGACCTATCAACCAAACATGAATCAATCATTATTGCCATGATAATAACATTTCCCTATGTGATCTAGTACTTGATGAAGTAATGGTTTGAACTGCGGTGAATAAATGTATATGAATTATGATCGTCGCAGTGTAGATAATAATCTAGTAAGTGATTATTAGTACTACCTTGAGAGGCTTTTTCAGGTCGACAGGACTTAGTTTGGTGATCTGGTTAAGTGTGTCTTGAACAATATTTTCTCTGTGCACTAGTATTATCAAACAAGGATGGATGGGATTGGACGGTGTAAATGATAACATAGACTGGACATTACGCCTGTGGACTTCATCTACTGCAAACTGGAAAAGATCAGAAAGCAATATAAGTGACTGAATGGTTAGTCAAACTTTTCATCAAGAAACTCTATGGTGTGGCCAAAACAAAGCTTACCATACTTGTGAGGTTTCATTGAAATCCCACTAAAACCCAAGCTGWTGCCTGCCCTCTGGTGCCCTGTTTTTATACCAGCATGCATTTGACAAGCAATGTATAGTTACCTGCATTTGCATTACAGCATCTGCCTGCAATAATGATGCTTTAGCACTTGCATCAAAGACAAATGGGAAACGGCAAAATGARAAGGTATTCTATAATTGGAAATGGAGACAGATACAACTATAAATAAATACCCATACCAACTAAATAATGCCAGAAGAGTGATGTCATATGAAACAAAATTAGGTGTATTAAGTGCAGTAATTCTATTTCATGTTTTTTTCACTTCACTCTACTAAAAAATACTAGTTATAAGTAAGTGATACTAGTACCAAGAACAGCACAACCAACTAAACAATTATGGGACCAACTAAACAATAACAGGTCCTAAGTAAATAGTACCAAGGCTAAGAAAAGAATATCAGAGGACAATACCAGGCAATACAAGGAACAACTAATTTATATCTAGAATCATATAATACCTGAAAGCATCAACTAATTTGAATGATTACAGGAACAACTGATTAGATAAAACTGACATTCATTCACTTTGCTGAATTTATTCAATTTGATGAATAATCTACTATGGTCAAGAATAAAAAGAAGCACGTCCAATACTACCTCATTCTGTATCCAGTTGAAATAATCAGCTCTTATGTCAACATTTTCCTGGATTTCTGGCAGGTAAAATTGTTTGAAGGGAACGATTTCCTCGACACTTATGTTAACCTAAACACCACAAAGTAATCCAACACATTTTAAGATGTGCTTACAACATGAAATATGTGAACAATAAATTGTTACTTTGTTTAGTTGAGAGAGGACCTCCATACAGGCTGCAAGTGCTGATTGTCGACGCTGAAACTTATAATGAGAAACATCAGAATGACGAAGAAACAACCTAATAGCACAGCCTTTTTACTTATTGCCTTTACGTTTACTTATTGCCACTTACTTCATCTATAGTAGCTTGCGGAGACATGCCTAGAAGAAACCTAACAGATCCTTGAAACATCTGTCATAATTGCAAAAAAATAGTGTTAAATACAAAATCAGCTCWGTACTGTTTGTTCACCTTAAAAAAATGAAAACTCTCAGTGTTGTTGACAGTATTACATATAATTCATGGTCATAACAAACATATTATATTTTACCTTAAGCACATTAGAAAAATAGCTTGATGGCAAARTTGACCACCATCGACCTGTACATTAAAGATGGTTTGATGCCAATGATTATTCATGGTGAATGATACTTATTACAGCAACGAGCAGTATAACTGGAACCACTTAGATAACTGCCAATTATATATTTCAATGATAAAAGAATCTAGAGGAGATCACCTAATGGTGTCCTCCTTAAATSTTTAATAATTCAGAGTACAGTATGTACTTCATGTAAGAGAATCTAGGAGATTAATTACCTATGGTTTTTCTCCTCCTTAATTGTAAATAATTATATGTTGTATGTAAAAAAACAAACAAACAAACAAAAAAAAGATAGAGGAGTATGATTTCATGAATTTTGTTAACAGTTCCATCATACTTTTTTGATTGGCCAGTTCTATCTAGGAGTGACCAAAAKTTACTGAATGAAGCAATTCAGAAGATGTTTTCTCTAAGTTTTGTCTCACTCTAACTCTTGCCATTCTCATCCAGCTTAGGCAATTAATCAGAGGATAACATTGTTGGAGAAAGCTCAAGAGAAAAAAGGCAAGAGAGACTTAGAGAGCAGGTCTAAACTTAATACTCACTCAATACTCTGAGAGCTTCTGACTTTAACCTCAAAATACATTTTGCAAAAGGAACTACTACATTATTAAAACACTTTCTCCTCAGAATTAACTGTAGTTCAGGTAACATGAGGTAGACTCGTAAGGCCTCAATATCTGGGGGTTGTTGTTGAAGCATTGAAGGAAGGAGGTGGTCAGCAATGGATGACAATATCTGAAAGATACATAAAAAACAATCACTTTTATCCCTAGTCATAAACAATTAGTGAGAGCTAACTTAACAATAAAATAATTGGCATGTGCCAGTCAAGGGGATAGAATGTCAGAACACACAGTATGCAAGGAAGAATCATGTTAATAATCCTTAAATAAATAAATAAATAAATAAATAAATAAATAAATAAATAAATAAATAAATGAATAAATGAATAAATGAATAAATGAATAAATAAATAAATAAATAAATAAATAAATAAATAAATAAATAAATAAATAAATAAATAAATAAATAAATAAATAAATAAATAAATTATAAATAAATAAATGTAAGACACTCATGAAACTTCAAACATATTATTATTGCAAAGCTATTCTAAGTTTTCTGGCTTGGCTAATAAATATAATATGTTATAATTATTGACTTACAAGACTTTTAAGGTTATCACTTGGAATGGTTTCAAACAGAACGAAAGACTTTGTTAAGGCTGTCAAATCCACTCCATGAATCCGTGAACTGATCCCCTCTGTTAATTCACTGAAAAAATGCAAACAAGTGACTATGTAACACTTCATTACTTATTACTGCCTACATCACTGCCCTTCAATGTACACAGCACTGCCCATTACACTGTACATTACTTTTCTACCCTTCTGTTTCACTAGGACCTGTCAGAGCACTTTGTACAAATTGTCAGTAATATTACCTGTCATAAAAAGAGCCATTTAAACAAGCTTGTGAAGAAAATATGGTTTCTAAAATCCTGAGAAATAAAATCAAAACACTATTAAACTACATATCTACCATCTTAGTACAAAAACCAATTAAGGATTGTGCCAAGCTGGATTATATGTCACAATGTTCATAATACCCTTTATATTCTATAACCAATAGATCAACTTCAATTAGTAATATCTCTTGTGGCCATGGATAGCCTTATATTCTATAACCAATAGATCAACTTCAATTAGTAATTATATCTCTTGTGGCCATGGATAGCCTGCTTTAACATGCCCCTTTAATAGAAAACCATTCAGGATCCCATTCCTAAATAAGATTGTACAGGATCCTGTCTAAGATTTGCACCAGGGTTGTGTCTAGAACCTACTCAAATATGTCCCTTGTGTCTGTTCCAAGTGATGCTTGCTTTACCAAGTCTTCAGCAAAGGKTTTGGTCAAAATCAGTAATGCTTCTATTGATGGTTTGTTGACATTGGGACTATCAACATTGTCCTAAAGCAAACAAACATCTTTTCAGCTGCTTTGTATCATATTTAACAGACTCTGTAATGATAATGATACATACACTGCCATTTTCAATGGCTGTCACAAAACAATGGTCCCCACCAGCAGAAACTCTTAAGATTTTGTAATAAATTTCCTCTGTTGCCATGGCATTTCTCTCATGAATCCAGGGTCCTTTGACTGRCAAACAGCCATTACTACTTTCTGCGGAATTAGTACCAAGTTGCCCACTATCGCCCTTACCAAATGAGTACACTTTGTTGGATGAAGGAACAAATGCTAAAGTGTGAGATCTGAAAAGTTTAAAAATGGCAAAAAAACAACAACTTACAATCAYGATTAGTCCCAGCACTCATCTTTTATAATCAATTACCAGAGAGCAAGAGGTTTCACTGACAAGCTGACACAAATACTAGTGTAGAACCCTGGCCATTGTGCCCTATTTTACTAACTGTATATAGTGGTGTTGGATTTTTTATGGCCCTCTGATGAAGTATAAAGAGACGAAACTCTGATTTTACTTCCCTTCCTGTGTAGACAAGGCACAGAAAGAAAAAGATGTCTTGCCTGTCATAAGGATGTGTAGACAAGGCACAGAAAGAAAAAGATGTCTTGCCTAACATAAGGATGATGTAATCATCCGGTCTAGGAATCAAGTTCAGGCCGTACATCAGAAATCCAACTACTAGATCATTACTTAACATCTCTCTTAGACATGGATTAAAAACTTTCCAACAAATAATTGTTAAGAATTGCCATACCTGCCACAATCTATTTGAGTCACAACACTACCCATCAAATCGAAAACCTGAAAAAGGATGYATTAAATCAATCTTTTGTGAAGTGGGAACCAGACAGGTCTCTTTTTCTTTGACATTGTTTTATGTCAAACAGTCATTGACACAGACTACATATTAAATGAGATATTCAAGGTTGTTCTGCTAGTAATCTTATAAACTGTAGTTATACCCTTTTAGGAGTGTGTTCATGAGCATTGGAATTATGTCCTAATTGTCCTGAAGTCCCACATCCAAATGTAAACACACCACCGTCCTGACCATTGAACAACAAGATTGATTAATGCACAATAGCAAACTGATGGACAAACTTTTTCAAAGAGTAACAAAGCTTTCCTGAGTACATACCGCAGTCAACACAGCAGTGTGATCCTCACCACAAGCTACATATACAACATGTTGAGACCTCAGAGAACGTAGAAGTGTTGGCATGTTACGGTCTAGCAAATGACAAAATACATTTTGTGAGATRACTATATTTTTTCTTTTGTCTAAATKGTGTAACTAGGTTTTTGAATTTTAACTTAATTTTAAAACAGATACTGCTTCAAAAAGACTGGATATATAAGACCTAGTCTACATACATTTGTAATAGAATGTACTTATAACAGTTCAACCTTTGAATTTTTGTAAGAACATGATACATGTACCTTTGAAGTCATTTACACCAAGTTGGCCAAAACTGAGTTGAAAGAACAAATCAATCCATTAATAAAATGATGTTGCATTGTGTGGATGTATTAGATAAGCATTGCTGTTTCAAGATCTTCTTTGTCAAGTTTGGTATATTACATTGTACATATTTGTAATAACTAGTGTACATGTAGCTGTTATAGAAAGTGTTTACTCAATCTGGTTTGTATTAATTGTGTACTATATACTGAAATTAAAATCAATTAATCAAGATACTCACTCATTACTACCCCAGGCAAACAATGCCCCTGATGTTGTGAGTGCAAAGGTATGCTGCCCTCCAGCATTGATGAGTGCAAAAGGAATACCTTGTAAGGATGACACTAAGCAAGGGTCATATTGATCATCTACAGTACCTAGACCCAACTGACCATGCGAATTGTAGCCCCAAGAAAACAGATGACCACCTGTTGAAGTATTTTGAGGATTAAGTTGTTAAATATTATATGCAGTACCAGATTGAGTCATTTTACCTCTAGACATTGCTATACAGTGATTAGCACCACATGCTAATTGTACAATTGTCATTCTTGTAAGCTGTTTTATAATCCTACAAAACAAAATCAGTTAGGAGTTTTAAATATTCATATCTTACACATGCAAAAGACACTTGAAATTACTTTGGTCTAGCCATCATCTGTCCAGCAAGCTTGCCAAGTCCCAACTGTCCATTGGAGTTAGAYCCCCATGTAAACACCAGTCCTTGGTCACTGACAGCTGCTGTATGATTCTGTCCGCATGCTACCTGATTTATTGTGTGTGTTTCCAGAGCCATCACAACCTCTAGGACACAGCAGTAATATGTATATATTATTGAGATCACATAACCACTGGACAGCAGTAGTGAGAAAAAAAGTCAGTGACAGTATACTGACACCCTATGGATAACCAGAAAATGCAAGGAGTATGTGATAATGTCCACACTGATTACATCATATTTAGAGGGGGAGGAGGAGAATTTAAGTATGGGTTATCTTGTATGCCATGGAATACAAGGGAAAATTATACTACCCACAGATAGTATTGAGAAAAATATTGCGAGATGTTTTTCACCCTTCTTCACTTGATAAGAATGTCATTTCCTTGAAAAATCGTACCTYCCCATTTCAGCACAAAAAGCTTTAGTGTACATACACTAAAATAGTTTAAAACAATAGTTACGATCGCATTTTATTACTTTTATTTCCTTCTTTTAATATAATAATTAATCTGTTTCAAGAAAGKGAAAAAACTTCCAATAATCTTAGCATTTTTTAAGCATAATCTCACCGGGATTGCTTCCTCCTTTTTCTTTGCCGAGCTGTCCATATTCATTACAGCCACAGGTCTTTATCATTCCATCTTTTGTCAGAAAAGCAGTGTGTTGCCATCCACAAGACACCCATAGTGGCAWATAGTTTTTGCGACTTGTTCTCGGCCGACTTACAAATTTATCATTGGTGTCCGGAAGGCCTAACTGTCCATCATAGTTCTTGCCCCAGCAGAACATCATCTTTAAGTTATTTGACCATTAGTATAAAATAGGTCGTAGTTTTCTAGGCGTTAACTGAATTACATCTTGAATTTAACACTAGTTGTTACAGAAATTGAAATGTCAACTTTCCGCCATTTTACCAACACAGATCCCAGTACACTTCGAGGAATTAGCACAGGAAGACCGTTGTATATACATAGAACAATAACAAAACACTTGAATTATTAGGTAAAAAACATATTTGATGTATCAAAGAAAGTAATATTCCGAAGTTTCAAGGAGRAAGCTAAAAAACTGACAAGGATATGATTTTTTAAAATTGTGCATAAAATGCATGCACAGCCTCGTTTTCATGCAAAAGCATTTTATTTTTGATGTAAATCTGGTAAATGTTTAGTTTAATATAAAATTTTGAGTTTTCTTCTTTAGAAAGGGTTCTTTTTTTATGGAAGGAGTAAGACATAATCAAATATAAAAACAATAATTAGACTAACTACAAATCTTTAAAAATTCATAGTGATGGATACCAGCTGATTCATTACAAGTTTGCTGACTATAAAAAATAGTTAGGAAGCTAGTAATGTGAAGTAGACTTCTAAGGTTATTTCAATATTCCAACAACTTATGGTATATTACAAATCGCGCGCTCTCATTGGCTGCTCAACCATGGTTATTGCATGATAGCCCATGGTTGGAGATGGCGGAGCATTTTTCCACCCTTATCTCGATAAGAAATATCGTCTATGAAATGAAGACTTCGAGGAGTTGTTAGAGTGGTTTTCATAAATCCGTGAAACAAAGTGTAATAATCAGAGTGTAATAGATCGTAATAGTCGCGCAGAGACAACAACAACAACAACAAAAACGAAACAAAAAGAGCCAAAGTGTAATAGACTAAAGTGTGTTTCACGGGTTAATGAAAACCACTCTACTGAAGAATTGAAAACGAGTTTAAATTCTGATTTTGAGACTCATTTGGAAGAGCGAGTAAAGTCCTATACTACTATGCATTTTATAAATTGTATTTTTTAAATTGTTGACGTTCTATTTATGAGAGTTTTGTGTGATTTTTCCATCTGATGCGATTTTATCGAGTCACGAATGCTTTGTTTTCTTTCTATTGAATTCGCAAAAGATGAAAATATTTTCATGTAGTCTCCTCGCAGCCGTGTTTAGTTTCGGTCACGAGTCAGAGAGAGGCTGCGTGACGCGTGACCGAAACTAAACACGGCTGCGAGGAGACTAAGAAAACGTGGATAAAATGAAAAAGTTGTTGGATACTAAAACTGAATTAGACCTCTCGCCCTAATGGGTTACGTTCAATAGTAACCTACCCGATTTAGTACCAGATTATTCTCAAGCTGCGGCCAGTGCGTGTAGCGCTCGGCCCAGTGCGCCCATCCAGCAACACCGTAAACCCACGGGGTTGTATATTGAACAACCTCCTCCGAAGTTTTGGAGCGGACTGGCGTCTCCCCTTGAATTTGCAAGGCGGTGGGATTGACGAAGGAGAATCCCTAAACAGTTTACGCTTGCTTTGAGCGGCGTGCCCCACTAGCAGAGGTAGGATGGTCCAACAGCCAAACAGCGTCGTATCAGCTAAAGACAGCCCAACAAGTACTTCAGCCTGGAGGCGCCTTAATAGATATCCTCCGATGAGTGCAAAATATCTTATGCAGGACAAGAATACTCGCAGCTCAACAGGCTAAAGAATTTCGTAACAGCTTTTCCAATCATAGTGTCAAGWAGCGCAAAACATCATAAGGCATATTKGTTAAAAATAGATAAATAAAAAAATAAGTTTGGGGTTTAGTGCGCAGGTGATGATTTAGGGAGGACAGTAGCGTCTTATGGAGAGGGCGAGCCTGCAGATGCCCATAGTTAATAGAGAGGACTAGTCCTCTCTATTAACTATGATTCTGAGATGAACACAACAGTCTTTTATTGCGCAAATTTGTTGGTTTGCTCGTTTTTTGCAACTGGAAGCAGAACAAAAACAATTAACGAATAACCATTGTCGTTAAGTACTCCTTTTCGTAAACTTTGCAGCGTGGACTTACATGTAATAGAACAATAGACGAAATATGACTGAGTGCTAATTTACATGCTTCGGAAACTCTGCTCACACCTCATAACCTTGATTTCATTTTAACTTTAATATCAAAACCCCAATCTCATAAAACACAACACGATATTTATAGCCTGAAGTGAGGCCAAGTTGCATAAAACTCGAAGGCAAACCACGCCTAACCGATCCTAACCATGCGAAATTTCGACACCTCACAGCACMGCTCAAACATAAGGTGCAAGGCTCCAAAACTTTGAAGAACACGCCACAACGTCTATCAAACAAAATGAGTCGGCGAACTTTCCACCGCGCCACGGCAACGCTCAAACACGAGATGCAAGGCTCTCTAATAACCTCAGTATCCAAAACTCCTCAATCATTAGACGCAAGGCGAACTTTACACTAGTTACACCGCGCCACGTCATCGCKCACGAGATGCAAGGCTCTGAAATCTTACATAACTCGCCACGGCGTTTGTACCCTGGTTCAGAGGTTTGATATTTTCTCTCTTCGCTATTGGTTTTGTCGAGACCTTCAGTCTCGTGGGCTATTGAACCGTAGCCCATTACAGTTTATTAAAAATAAAAAGTTAAAAATAAACTGAATTAAGTTCGTTGAAATTGTGTTTTGTTGCTAGTTTTGCTTTTTCAGTTTCTTCTCAAATTTCTGATTGGTTTACAGTAAAATACGTACCAGGTACCAAAACGGGAAAAACCATATATTTTAGGGAAGACTGCTGATGACGTAGTCAAGCCTCGATTTAGATTAGTTTCCAGGGGGTTCCCCGACGCTGTCATAATATAACGCCCGTATGACATCCTTCCCGTTCAAAATCCAGAGGTACAACAAGTTTTAGTTCGCAAAAGTCGTTACTCCAAATAATATGGCTACTTCAAAGCTCATGGAATCTTCTATAGAGGTACAGAAACTTCGTTCAAGCGTTCGCCATCTTCTTGAAGAACAAAATAAGTCAAACAGCAAACTGATTGGAGTTCAAGTTTTAACGGATCAACTAGAAAAGAAAAATGAGGAATGCTCTGTTTTAAGATCTAAACTAAAGCAATTGGAGGTCCTGTTATCAAGAGCAGAAAACAGAATCGCACAACTAAGTATTTTAGCAAATGCTAAGGGTGGCCAGAGTCAAGGTGGTATCGTCACTCCAGGAGTGTCAAAGAAACTATTAGAGACGATAACCAGAGAAAATACAAAGCTTAAGCTAGCTTTAGAACATGTTCTAAACAAGCAAGCAAACGGAGTGGATCTAGCAGTGGTAAGTTTTCATTCGTCGTCACGTCGGCCATCTTGGAAAACGTCTCATTTCGTAATCGAGTTGCGACGATTTTTTAGAAATCATCTTAAATTCAGATATGAAAATTGTTAATTTCAGTAGTTTTGACCTAGAATAATTTCTTAACTGTTTATAATTATTTGGAACATTACAGAAAAATCATCAATTCTTGCTGTTCAGCATTTTCAGTATTCACAAAGGTTCGATTATTATCGACGATGACGGGGAATCCCCGACCGGATTCTTGTCGAGTCACGTTGGCTGTTACTCGGGAAAACCCGTTAAAACGAAACTTAGACAATCATGGTTTCGATATGATTCAGTTCTATTTTCATTACATTAGCATTCTGGGTATTTCTTGTCATTTTAAACAGATATATAATTATCTACAATTTGGTATTTTGTCTTACAATTGTTACACTGGGTTGTGCAATATCATCAAAACTGAGACCCCAAGGGATCTTTGGTACTCAGAAAGTTAAATRTGTTACATTATCCTGTTGGAAGGGTAATTTTATTCAGTGCAGGTGCAATATTTTGGCGCTAATTAACACAGTTATAATCATAATATTTGCTTTCCCATATGCTCCCTTTTGGTCTCATACTAGTAGGATGCTTTCCATTTAGGCAGAACTGGCTGGCCAGTCTGCTCTATTTAGAGGTATATAATGCTTTTTGTCAACATTTTTCAGTCATTTCGAGGTTTTCTATTTAACAAATAGATCTCATTTTTCTGTGCGTGTGTACTCTAATAGATACACAGATGACGTCAAAATGTAGTGAGAACAAAAAAGTACGCACGAGACGCACAGATGACGTCAAAATGTAGTGAGAACAAAAAAGTACGCACGAGACGCAGTCGAGTGGGTGACTGTTGTTCTCACTACATTTTGACGTCATCTGTGTATCTATTAGAGTACACACGCACGGAAAAATGAGATCTATCTGTTTTATACAACAAACAATTAGTTTTGACGTAATCCGTGTATCTATACTTTGAAAGCCACGAAAGCCAACCAATCAAAACGTCTGATTTTACTGAAAAGTTGTATAAACTTTGATAACACATGAAAGCCAACCAATCAAAACGTCTGATTTTACTGAAAAGTTGTATAAAGAATAATGGATAGAATTTGAAAATTTGAATTTCCTAACTAAATAAGAATGATCTGTAAATTGCAATGACATTTTCTCTGGGTCTGGCCAGTCTGTTCTGACAAATTGAAAGCTCCCATAGTTTCTGGTGATGTAACCTTTTGTAGCAAATACTTTTTTCAGTTAAGTTTATGTWGTTGCAATGTGTAATATCTTTGAGAAATTCCTCATGAAACATATCTGGAACAATTTAACAATTATATAGACATGTAATGTATAAATGTGCAGAAGAATTTCTATATGGTTATCATAAGAGAAAGGCACAAAATTATTTATAAATTGTCAAATGTTTTGAACTATGAGTTCATCATCAGGACTGAGTAAATTAACCCAAAATAGAGAAATATATGTYGAAGTGATCCAATGGGGATGCAGTAAGTTAGGTGTTAATTTATTCAGTCCTGTGATGATGAATTCATAGTTYGAAAACGTTTGACAATTTATAAATAATTTTGTGATTTTCTCTTATGATAASTATTTTTCCTTTTGATTGAAATGACATAACTTTTTATTATTAAATTAACAGAACTGTAAGTTCTTTGAAATAATCATATCTTATATTCTATTTTTTTAATAATAGGAAAATAGGGATCTTCATGATCTAGTCCTTGCACTGAAAGATGAACTTGAACAAAATAGAAAAGAAACAGAAGAATTACGAGAAGCACTTAAAGCTGTGGAAACTGATGACTCTATGGCTTTGCAGCAACAGATTGCAAGACTGACAGCACAAATAACACAAATTGAGAGAAGCTTAAAAGCAAAACAAGTTTACTGTGAGTCAGTTGTAAGTGAGAATGAAAGACTAAAGTCTAATATGGAAGCAGTTAAGAGTGAGAGAATAACACAGCTTGCAACACTAAAGAAATTAGCTGACCAACACCCAGCTATCAAAGATGTTCTTAACCTTACTTGGTCTAGTGATGATGTTGATGGGCAAGCTAAAGATATTGAGGTATTAAGTCATGCCATCACAAGCTACTGYTTATTAACAACATAGAGTCGTGATCAAGAAAGAAATTATAATGAGTTGAAAYGTATTCTCACAATATCTAATTAACCTTACTTTATGTATTTTCAGAAATATACAAAAGAAATAGAGTCACTGAGAAAAAATRTAGAGGAATTAAAGGAACAACGTGCCATTTCATATSAAGACAGCAAGAAACATMAGGAAGAATTCAAAATGCAGATYCAAGAACTTACCCATAGAAATGCTGCTATGCATGAGGAAATAGAAAAGCTAAAGAATGATTACCAGGAAGTGAGCATGGTGAAAGATTTATTGGAAGGCCAGGTAAGACTGCTTCCAGAGTTATAGCAAGTTCATTACTGTATGATATTGATCAATAAATATTTAAAATTTATAGTGCAAAGATTTTGAGAATGATTTCAAGATGGAAAGACAAGAAAAAGAAAAGTTGGATTCTGACATGAAGAGGATGGTTAAGCAATGTCAAGACTTACAGCAAGAAAATATAACAGTCAGAAACGACAATGAAAAGATTAAAAAACTAATTAAGGATGAATTTGAGARAAAACAGCAAAAACAGGTAACAGAACAATCTTGTAGTACAGCCTTTTTAAGCAAAGTTGTAGCTCAGCCTTGTTGGTGTCAAATGTAAACAAATGCCATAAAGGTGATATACACAGTACTCATAAAGTGTTTTCTTATTTCTAAAGATAACATCAACAACAACAGCAACAACAAACTCRCCGAGATGGCAATTCCCCGCAGCTGCTACTGGATACACAGTGAGTTGATTTAATTGTGTAYTACATCATAACCCAATGAAACTAAATGAACTGTTTATTGAATAAAAAATATTATTTTCTTTTCTCAGCCTCATCACTATAACCCAATGAACAGAACCCCAGAACCAGGATACATGGTAAGACTGATGTTTCTCACTCATCAATTACAGTCAAAAGACATGAAGCGCATTTCCAGCTTTTTGAGACCCTCATTCTTTTCTCTCGAGAAGGAACAGATCCAACCAAATTAACAGACAGCATATTGCAACGCATCRACTTGTTGAAATTACAAAAGACCAGCATGTTTACAAGCGAAATACAAAGAAGGCTTTACGAAAATCCGATCAATAATCCAATCAAATTTCAAAGTTTGAATTCAAATTTGATTTCATAATGTAATGTTGAATCAACCAAGAATGGAATAATGAATTGAATAACGGTGTTTTGAGGGGGCGCACTTCATGTCTTTTGACTGTAATTCATTGCAATTGTTGTACCATTACCCCTTTTTTGCTTCATATTTTATGTTTATATTGTTTACTGTTATGAACACCAAAGACTGTGTCTATATTTCTTCTTGTTACATTTCACATTAAGTATAATTTATTTAATTCTACTATTTTTAGCCTCCTCATTTTAATCCAATGACGTTGTCAGAACAAGTGTGTGCTGATGGTCCTGGAGGACAAAATCTAAGGCCGTATAGCCGTATAAATGCAGCAAACAGCAGCTACCTTGAATGTCCTGTCTGCAAAATGATCCTACCTCCAAATGAGATAGAGGATCACCTCAATGACTGTGATGGCAGGAAGTGAGTGGCATTGTCTTTGTTTGCCATACTGTTTGATGCTAGCTTGGATATCTTTTGAATAAAGATGTTGCAATAATACATAAAGTGTATTGTTGACAAAYATTGCATCAAATCTATAGTAATGCAGCAAGCTTGATTCAAACTGTGTGTACATTAAATTCGATGCCAATCATTGTTGAAGATCTTTCCATGGTGATACTGCATGGTCAGCAGCGATGATACACCTTCAAGAGAAAAGTAGAAGGTGTGGTTATCCAAATTCTCTTCCATCTCTGACTCAATCATCATGAATTAGCATTGATAAGGGACAACTTGTTAAGGTTTTAGTAAAAGTTGCATGCACATTAAAACATATCAATGCATCATCCATCGTGGGTAACACTGACAATGACAATGCATCTTTCAGTGCAATAATCCAGTGTGTGCATAGTATAATCATGTCAAAAATAACAATTTGGCAACAACTGAATGGAGATTTAAGTGTCAGATGGGAATATAGTGATATTGTCATTTCAATGGTGGATAAAGATCAATTATTATAGAGTTTCATCTATTTTAATAGCTTAGTTGTTAGATTTTGTAAAACGAAATGTTAGGAAGACAAAGAAAGTCATAAAGCTATTTATATTTTCAAATCTCACAAAGCAGTCACTAATTTGCAACATCCCTTCAATTGAAAATAGCTTTTCAAATTACAGTAAAGGAAAATAACCTCATTATGTACTTATTGACTGAGTGGGAGGGCCGTACGGGAAAATATTTGGCTCGAGGTTATGCCGCACGGAYCAAGCGCAGCCAGGTCCGTACAAATGACCGAGAGCCAAGTATTTTCCYGTATGGCCCGACCTAACTCAGTCAAAGCATTTTATCATATGACAGCGTTTTTTAAAGTAAAAAGTAAAATAAAAGCGTGCGGAACTTCAAGCCAGTAGGATACCGGTTTATACGGCCCTGTTGCGAAAAGGCTAGCCTGCGTGGCGGCTCTAGGGGAGGGGGAGGGAGAAAACGGAAGGGGAG